TGTTTTATACTTTTATTGGATATGTGAAATGGAAATTTGTAATTCACTTTCACTGCAGACAATCTTTTTGCCTGTGGTTGGTTTGGTTGATCCTGATAAGTTGAAGCCTGGTGATTTGGTTGGGGTCAATAAGGACAGCTACTTGATATTGGATACCCTGCCATCAGAGTATGATTCTCGTGTGAAGGCAATGGAGGTGGATGAGAAACCAACTGAGGACTACAATGACATAGGAGGGCTGGAGAAGCAGGTAAGTTTTGGACATTAGTGATACTTTATAAGATAATTTCCTGCTAATTAGTCATTAAAGATACTGTTGAAGCCCCTTTGTTTGTTGTAATGTTTGTTGGATCAGATCCAAGAGCTAGTTGAGGCCATTGTCTTGCCCATGACGCATCAAGAGAGGTTTCAGAAGTTAGGAATTCGTCCACCTAAAGGGGTACTTCTATATGGACCTCCTGGCACTGGAAAAACATTGATGGCCCGTGCATGTGCAGCTCAAACAAATGCTACCTTTCTGAAGCTTGCAGGACCACAGCTAGTGCAAGTGGGATTCAGAGTCCCATCATCTTCATCATTCATTTAAACCTCTATGTGTTTGTCTTGATTATTGTTTGCCTCTAGTTTCTTGATGTTGGTTCCAGATTATACATACTTCAAGCTTGTGCTTGTTAATGTGATGTTCTGGTCTGGAAAATGTGTCCTTCACCCACAAAGCTTATTTGTTACTTTTTGGAAATCATCAAAGTTAACTAATGCCTGCAATATATTGAGGGACAACCAGAAAAGGAAAGATGAACTAAACTTTTTGGATTGATGGAGCATATGATGTTGCATGATTAACATACTTGTAGTTTCTCATCTTGGTATTTCATGATTGAAACCAGCGTAAAGTATCAGAGAACTAAGTGTCTATTCTTTGCTAGTTAGTCTACTTAATCGGCACGCTTGGTAAAATAATTGAACGAGTAATTTATGTGTAGATGTTTATTGGAGATGGAGCAAAACTTGTTCGTGATGCCTTTCAGCTTGCCAAGGAAAAATCTCCCTGCATTATTTTTATAGATGAAATTGATGCAATTGGCACAAAACGTTTTGATAGGTATGCCTTGTGACATTTCTTGGGCAGTATGAATATTGGAACGTTTTTATGATTGACAGTATTGCTTATCAATTGACTCATCCTTTATTCACTGCAGTGAAGTAAGTGGAGATAGAGAGGTGCAGCGTACAATGTTGGAGTTGCTAAATCAGCTTGATGGTTTTAGCAGTGATGAACGTATTAAGGTTTGTAGGAAATTGTGGTGGAGCTTGTACCACAGGGACTTTCCAATATTTTTTATTAAAGGACAGATGTTCACAGATCTGCTTTCTTTAGTGACTGTCTTTAGTGGAGAATAACTTCTTTTGTTTATATTCTTTGGCCTGAATAACAAAACATATATGCTTTGGACAAATTGCAGGTGATAGCGGCAACTAACCGTGCTGATATCCTGGACCCTGCCCTCATGCGATCTGGTCGATTAGATCGTAAAATTGAGTTTCCACATCCCACTGAAGAAGCAAGGGCTCGAATCTTGCAGGTATAGGTTTTGAGGAGTACTCTGTTTTTGGTACAGCAGAGTGGGAATTTTGTTGACTTGTTTTACATTGATTTGTTAGATCCACTCAAGGAAGATGAATGTGCACCCCGATGTCAATTTTGAAGAACTGGCTCGATCAACAGATGATTTTAATGGAGCACAACTCAAAGCTGTTTGTGTGGAGGCAGGCATGCTAGCTCTGCGCCGAGATGCAACTGAGGTGCTCTCTTTTTGCCTTGTTAAAAAATTTTCTAATCTCTTGTTGGCTAGAACAGCTCATCCTAAAGTTTTACGTTAACAACGTGTTTCAATTTCCAAGTCATACATGCAAATGCTTGGATGCCCCCCCGTCACACGTGTGTCTGCATGCTTGAATGTGTATAATTTTGCATGAAAATTTATTTGTATTCCAGTTGCCCTTGATTGTACTTAGTTTTGAGCAAGTAACAGTATCAGCTTTCTCTCATTCCAGGTGAACCACGAGGATTTCAATGAAGGTATCATTCAGGTTCAGGCCAAGAAGAAAGCAAGTTTGAATTACTATGCGTAGACTAGAGTATTGTTGTAAGAGGATGCCAATTTTCTGTTTGTGAACTAGAATTAGTTTCCTGTAACCTTACCAAAACTTGAATGAATTTACTTTTTGTTTGCTGTTGCAAGCATCTACACTGTGGCAAGCTGTCTCCATTAAGACCAATCAGTAACTTTATTTTCCTTAAACATGAAAACTACAATAAGTGTTTTAAAGGGCAAATAGTAAATGCACTGAACAATAACCCATTAATCCTTAGCATATGGGAGGTTGGAGCTACTAAACCTGAAGTCAAGTTTCATGTTCAAATCTTCTCGTGTATTCTAATCTAGACTATTTTCAATGAAAAGTAATCCCAGCTAAATTTGGCACTAAAACTCGCAACATTCTATCTTTTTATTCGACAACTGAGTTTACCGTACACTAGAATTGTCCTCCTAACTAGAAATAATGTAAGAATGTAGTAATAACCTACCAGTTGAGTTCATTAATAAGTAACTGTTGTTTTGTAAAACAGATTTAAGAGCTTAAATTTTGTGGCCAACACTTAATAATGCACTAAGTTATTGTGGGAGATGGATTGTCTAAATCACTTCAAAATGAGTTAATCTCGATAAACATAAAAATTGATTTAAGAATATTTTGAATATAATTATAAGGAAAAAAAAAATGAGTAGTTACATATGAAATCAAGAGCCCTTAAAGACGGTAATAACTAGCTTAAATTTATAAATCTAGCATTACAAATTGGAGCAATGGAAGAGGTTGTGTGTGCCACAGCTTAAAATGCCATCAGCCCTTGACCTCCTTCAAGTTCAAGCCATAAGCAAAGCAAAGGAATGTCTAGTCAGTAGCACCCTCCTTGTAGGCCACTATCATCGTGCATGCTCTCACCGACAAAACTACAAGAAAAGAACACAAACCACTCAAAGTTAAAAACAGTTGAATAACTAGCTATAATCATTATATTCTCGATGGAGAATGACATGGAAGTAACATACAATTGGATCGAGTTCATTGAGCTTTGACAGCAAAAACTACTGGGTAGCTCTCTCTCTCTATGTGCTTCTTAAACAACTCTTTGCTTGTTTGGCTCCAATTTGGCTGACAGTTCATCAAACCAAGCCATGCAAGACCAGGCGGAGAGCCAGATATACATCCTGATCTCAAGAGGAGGGTGCAACAGATCGAGGCAGTAGGAGTTTCAAAGCGTAGAGGGGCAATTCCGACAGATGCAAGAGAAGAACGAAAGCGATCCAGCTGCAGCAGAAAATCAAGCAGCGGGTGCGGGTCCAACAGGCAGGAGAAGCTCGAAAGTGATCTGCATCAGAAAATCCATCAGCAGGTCCACGCTACATTTAGCAGCATTCGGCTATAAGCTTCCCATGAACCGGCAGCGGCCCTTCCTAGCATGCGTGTATCTTCCTCCTGGCGATGACCTTATGATACATTTTATATTTACATACGTTCACCAAATCCATCTAAGGAGACAGCTTGTCGTTTTTCAAGAAAGAAGGAATGTTAAATAGACCTCTCAAGTAACAAAAGTGCAAGTAACTTTACGTCGGTGCATAAATTTAATTAGGAAATTTATTTCATAGCAAAACTGTTATCAGGTGGTGTGGCAGACAACTAATACTGTAAGAAACTCGCACATGCCAATATGTTCTAACAAATCACAAATATATTCGTGCTGAGTTGGAAGGAGAAAGAGAATAGTAAATATAAAATTTTTTATGTGTAATTTTTGTTAGGTAGTTTCGTTTAATAGAATAATTTTTAGGATACGTTTGATGTGAAATATTATGACTGTAATTATGGTTGTAGCTATATTATAGTTGTAGATGTGATTGTAACTAAAAGTTATTTTGGTATTTTGTTATTTTGGTATTTTGTTATTTATTTCTTAAAAAGTATTATGTATGAAA